TTCATATCCTCTTGTTTCCAAGCAAATACCTCTATGTTTCTTCTGAGGAATTGGATCAAGAAGTCTTTAATTTCCTTATTTAGCTTAGATCCCACGTATACCTGGTGCTCTGACTTCTCGTCAAGCTGCATAGGCTCCACCTCTTCCGATGGCATTGACCTAGTGTCTAGCTCGTCTCTCATGTCGAGCTCGTCCAGTTGGATATTTTCGATCTCTTTCTTTTTCATGGATGCCATATAGCACTCCCGTGGTACACACTAGTCTCCTTAGACCACTCCAATTCTGTTTTTCATAGAAAAATTCATGACGAGGTAGTAGGTAGAAGGAATGACCCTCATGGCGTTGAGAGAAGGTCTTCCTAGCAGAATGTGTGTATCCTGAAGGTGCATTGACCACTAGGAACATCACAGTGGTGGTGAACTGGCAAAGAGGGTCCCCCACAGTGAGCAAAAGTTGGATTGAACGTAGAGATAACACCATTTCCCCTAAGAATCCCAATAGGTGAGTCCTTAGTAGCACAAGTTTGTCTCTGCCTATATCCATCTTGTCGAAGATAGACACAAAGATGATGTCAGTAGAGCTCCCGTTGTCAATCAGGACTCGATGAATGGTCCTGTTGGCGACGATGACCCTTACCACCAAGGGTCATCGTGGGGATACTAGCAGCCCTCCAGGTTTGTATCTGAGAAAGTGATGTCCATGTTTAGCTGAGGTGTTTTGGACACGGTGTGTACTTCCAGTATCTTGTCAGTTTTGACTTTGCGCATGTGAGCCTTCCTGGCTGAGCTGGACTCCCCGCCTCCAGCAAATCCTTTGTATATCACTCTGATCTCCCCTAGAGGTTGTTAATATTGTGTAGGGACTTGCTGCTGAGGTGCTAGAGGTGGTTGAGTTCGGTTCTGATTGTCTTGCGCCACAAAACGGTGCAATTGTCCCCGTTGGATTAGGGACTTGATTTTTTTCTTCAATTGGATACAATCATCGATGAGATGGTCATGGTCCCTGTGGTATTCACTGTATTTTGTTGCGTCTCTTTTTGCATGATCTAACTTTATTCAAGGTGGCCACCTCAGGAATTTTTCATTATGAATCTCATAAAGGACCTGGGACACTGTGGCTGTTAGGGGAGTGTATTGCCGAGGTACAAATCTTGGCTGTAGTTCTTGCGGTGGTGGATCAAGGCGGTCTTTGACATCTCCTCTCCTTTTTGGAGAGTGGTTCCTATCTCTTCGTAGAGATCTATCTCCACTTTTTTCCTTTTTGGGACTTCGGTCACTCCTCTTCTCCTTTTTCTTGTGCACGGACGTGTTTCCTACCTTGGAGAAGAGTGTTTTTTTGCCGTTGATGTACTTTTGTGCCTTGGCGAGGATTTCTGCCTTACTGGCTTGCGAATTTTCGGAGACAAAAAACATTAGGTCTTTTGACTAGATTCCCAATCCAGCAATAAAGGCAATGATGACGAACTTCTTGTCAGGGACATCCACTTTCTGGGATTTTGAGTTTAACTTTTGAAAATAGCTCAGCAGGCTTTCGTTGGATCCTTGTTTCACATTCAACATGTGATAACTCGATTTCTGATAAGTCCGAGCTTCTATGAAATACGATACAAAGGAAACAAAGAACTCTTTGAAGGACGAGATTGATGCTAGGGGTAGCCTATTGAACAATGCCAGAGCTGAGCCTTTCAAAGTGATGGCAAAGGCCTGACATCGTACTGGGTCCTAGTACCCATGTAACTCTATTTGATTCTTGTAGGTGTTGAGGTAGTCCATGAGATCTTTTGTTCTATCAAATGCCTCCACCTGGGACAATCTAAACTTAGGTAGAAGTGGAAAGTGCAGTACCTGTGTGGTAAATGAGAACTCAGTCTACTGAACTAAGGCATCCATAGTCACTGGAGTTTTGCTTTTAATAGCCTCCTTCATGTGGCTGAACTCCTATTGAATGTCTTTGAAGTGCTGCTCCCAATATTATTTCTTTCTTCCTGTTGGAACAGAGGAAATATGTTATTACGAGCTTCCCTGTTCTGACTATGTACTCCCTTGTTGTCCTCATTCCTATGAACTCTTCGATGAGCATTGCCCACAGTTTGGCTGCACTCATCTCCTTCGGTGATGTCCTTCAAGGGGTTGTTATGCTATCGTTCCCTCTGAGGGGGATCGTCTTGGGCTAGTTGAGCTCTTTGTGGATGCTGAAGGATATTCAGCAACTCCTCATTCTGTTGGAGAAGATGTTGATTAGCTAGACGAATGGTTTCCAATTCGTTTTTAGGTGCGGGAATCACTGTGGGGGGATCGACTTCAGGTGTAGGCAAGAAATCATGGGGATTTTCTTGCTACCTCCTAGTGGTAGGTTCTTGTTGGTTTAATAATTGAGGGAGGTTTGCTTTTCCTCTTCTCATGTTGAGTGTAGAAACTATCAATTACTGAAGGAAATCAATATTTTTTTAACGGGAAACAATTGTTCCCACAGACGGCACCAACTGATGATGTGTATAACACGATAGAGCAAAATGATATAACACGATAGAGCAGAATGAAAGATTCAATGTATACTGAAGAGTTCAGTCGGACCTTCAAGGCTCTAGGGAATAGGGTTCTTGGGCTAGTAAATAATTACATATAGCATTTATAGTGATTCACCAGCTTGGGAGTTCAGCTAATCCACTCTTGAAGGAGTCTCTTACTCATGAGTATCTTAGCAACTACGAGAATTTTACGGAGAGTATTTTGTAAGGCTACAATGGCTATCCCCCTTTCTTGAGGGCTTTGCCTCTTATTTATAGATATTCCTAGGGTTTGCTGGATCTCGCCCCTTAGCTGTAATAGTTCCCCCTTATTACGCAACGAGACTTGTGCCAGTTGGGTGATTAATGCTAGAACCCGACTTGGTGGGATCCAGCTTTCATTTGAACAAACTTTTGTGAGATATGGATATAGGGAGTTGAGGTCTGAGATTGAGATCCACACATAATATTCATGAGCTAAGCTCCCGAGTCGGAGAGTATGACCTGGGGTGCGAAGCTCATCTTTAGATATTTCGTGGTACCATATAATCTTATAAGATGTAAATTATAAATTTAAGAATTTTTCTGAATATAAATCTCTATATTATATAGAGATGTATCAAGAAATAAAGAGAACGCTCCAAAAGTTCATCCCTATTTTCTAGAATTTTTGGTTTTATTGTATTTCTAAATCTAATTTTGGTATTATCTTATTAGTGCTTACATTTTTTTTAACAAAAAAAAAAATATTTTGGATAAAATTCTGTTATCTACTTTTAAATACAACTCCTATCCATTTAACAACTCTAAATTCCAAACCATATTTTCTTGAATTTTGTATAAAATTATGATATCTACTTTTAGATATACCTCCTATCCATTTAACTCACTCTAAATCCCAAACCCCATTTCCCTGAATTTTGGAATTTTCTTAATTTTTGAAATGGTACGTTACATTCTACTATTAGTCCCTTTTTTGGTTTTAAAAAATTAATTTAAGATAATAAATACTATTTAGTTTGAAATTTGAACAGACCTACTGGTGCACGTTTCTTTTAAATCTCATGCCTATCTTCCACTCCCTCCACCTTTTCTCTCTCTCTCTCAAAAGCCCTTTCTTTTTTCATGCCTCCACCACTCTACATCTCTCATACTCTCTCCCATCGTTGAGCTCTAGTGCTTCACATTGATTAGCAAACGACAACCAGTCAACATATTTTTGGTCTACAGGTATCTCATGTGGTTCCCTTTATGCTTTCTTCCCTAATTTTTTGAGATGGTCAATGCCTTTCTCCCTCTCTCTCATGCACACACATTTCCCTTTCCGAATTTGCCATTGACTCAATTGGGGGCCTTTAGAGCCAGATGAATTTGCAACCGAGTACATAATTCACCTGATGGATGTTTTCGATCATGCGGTTGTTACTGTCGTTTTATTGAAGCCAGCCAATATAAATTCAATTCAACAGAGGTGTCATATTTTCTTCTGCAACTACTCATCGGTGCATTGCTGGCTAAGTTATTTCTACATAGAACGACAATGCACAAGGAGGAAGCTCAAAATCTTACATAAAGAGATAGATTTAATGGCTGGGTTGGTAGTTTCTATGTTTCATAGAACTCCATGGAAGGGGAGAAAAAGTCATAGGGGATTCTCTGATCATTGTAGAAGAAAATATTGTTAGAAAGATCGAAACTTTGACTACTTATATGACTGTTACATAACTATATTATTTCAATATAATCATACTTAAGAAATCAAACATGCTTCGTAAATATTAAGGAGTGCAGGTATTCAAGGACAAATGCTAACCATATATTATCACAGAGATCATGTTCTATCCGAATGTGGTCGGGGTGGAAAACAAAGATGCCAAAGGAACTGCCCAAGGACTACCATTTTCAATGTATTCATGGATAAAGAAAGAAAAAAATATTATTCTTGAACACCAGCCCACAAGATTTCATGTCCAATTTAGTCTACACATATCACCAAATAGCTCCTTTCATAGTTAGATAGTTTTTGTTATAAAATATTTTTTATTAGTTATTTTTTTTGAATTTTTACCACTTTATATGATTGATATTACTGTCTTTTATAAGGAACAATTTAGTTTACAAAATTAGTTTTTTAGTGAATTTCGTGTCAATTATAAATGCACATATCATATATTTAGTATAGAGATTTTCCGGTGTATTGCATGGGATCCCACTAGTTGTAATGATAAATTGAAGTTTTTTTTAACGTGTTCATGTTAATTTTTTTTTTTTTTAACTTATATGCCATTCATTTATTAAATGAATGAAAATCACATATTAACTCTAATTTTATAATAAATTGAATAAATAAAAAGATAATCGAGTGACAAATAAGTAATTAAGTAATAAATCGACAAACTGAGTGATATATTAATTTATTGTAGTGATCGAATGATAGGTTAAAATACTCTATCCAAACGACTAATTTATCATGCGGTTTAGATGAGTCCAGTTATCACTCAAATTTCAAATCTATTAATTTTATGTCAATTCTGTGGTGTTGAATTTTATAAGTAAATGGTAGTTACAAACAAAAACATCATGACCTCCTTTGACAAATGAAAGTGAAGATGATGGCTATGCAACATTACTTCCATCCACGTATAACTCACTCTCTCCAGCGGATTAGGACCCAATCCTCCGGTGACCGGAAAGAGAGCCTGCAGGAGAAGGTAATAATCCCTTCCGGCGGATCCCCAGCTGACCAATTCACGCCTTTGGCATTGGTTTTCCGGCGACGGCTTCTAACTGGTATTGGAACAGCTTCCCTGGTTGCTGTCGGAGCTAATTTTGCCGGAATTACAAGTTTTCTTCTTGGGTTCTCGCCGGAGAGATCTCGGTCTCTTAAATTGGACGTGCTTTATCCCATCAGAGGCTACCGTCGGTGCATTGACTCAAATGAGGGATTTGGTCAGTAAGTATGACATTGATTACAATATTATGTTGGGGGTTGTTACACAAAACGACAAGTGTTTAAACCTGATAAGATTGAGTTTGTTATAATCACAGCAATTTTCATTATTCATTTTTTTCTCGGAAATTAATTTGCACTATTCTTAACCTTATCCAAAAACTTCTAACTTTCTTTGTGTAGTAAAAAGTAAGATCCTACTGAAATTTTAAGTACAGATTGATAATGTTTGTAAATTTGTTTAATTAGTGTTTGTGTTACAGTTTTCAATTTTTTTTTTTTAGAATTTTGCTTTGTTCGTTTTGCTTCTTTAATCAAAGCTTAACCACAATACTATATACATAATTGCCGTGCAATTCAAGAATTATAATTCGTGCCGTCTTTTTTATTTTCTTATTTATCCCTATCCCTCTGCTCTTTTATTCTATCACTTTAGAAGTTACATGAACAATTATAGAAAGTTTTAGGATGGTAAACACTAATTTTTTTGAATAAATTTCAAAAAATAGTGATTAGTTATTGCAGAGTTGACTAAAGTTTCGAATTAAAAAACTCAAAATTCTAAGAATTTAGAAAAGGAAGGGAGAAGCCTTCTACCCTCTAAATTGTTTGTTATATATGTAGAGATAGATTTGTTTTTGTAACAAAATTAATTTTAACTTAAAAGAAATTTGAACAAACATTGTCAAATGATACATCTGGATTTAGGTTAGACAGAGAGCAAAAGATTATAAGGATCAATTCATAAAGTACAACATTATATTAAATATATAATTTCATCCCCCTCCACTTTGAAATCCATCTTTAATCTTCTATGTGATTTCATATGCAAAATAATAATGATTGTTAAATTTATATGCACGGTAGTGAATAGATTTCGTGTGCATACTTAATAAAAATGATCCTGCTAATATATATGTTTATTTCAGTATGCACTCGAATTTAACTGGATTAGGTTATCTGTAGCCCCAATTCAAACTTATTCCAAGTATTGATCACACTGCATTCAGAACCAGCCTATAAGTTCAAATTGCAGCCATTAGACTTTTGATTTTTGCATTTTATGTTATATTTTTTTGAACCAACTAAATAATTATGTTTACCTTTGATGAATACTAGAGCCAAATTTAATTACGAAAAACACAAGTTTTCGTGTTGTGTTATTTTTTTTTCTCTGATTTCCAATTGGGGTGAAGATTTATGGTCTGAAGGTAACATTTAATTTGTGGACAAACAGAGTTCATATACCCAGCAAGTTGGGTTGGAGATCAGACACTGTTGTATCGAGCAGCTGGGAAGGCAGAAAGATCGCTTGATCCTCCTCCTCTAAGCTATATGACACCCAATGACCGTCGCCGTCAAAATGTAAATGAGCCACTCGTTGCATTTGGTCCGCCAGGGTCAAGTGGAGAGCTCAACGTTAGTGTTGTTGTCTCACCAGTTCCTCTTGATTTCTCGTGAGTGCTCTCTGATCACAATTGAAATAGGGTGAAAAGTAAGAAGTTTACATTCCACGCAATGATTTGGCATTGGCATGTTTCATAAAAATTCATTGGGAAACAGTACAGAAGTTAAATAACTAACGGACACATTATAAATTTTGAAGCCAAAGGACAAGATTGACTTCAATAGGAATAGATGGCATCTGTCTTATATGGATTTGAAGCTAATCTTTCTATGATTGTCTGTAGAATTGAGGCATTTGGAGGACCAAAGGAGGTAGGAGAAGCTGTGATTCGGACGATTACAGGATCTGGCCAACGCCTTGATGTGAAAGGAACACTGATAGAATCAAATTTGAGGCAGGATTCACTAAGAAATATCAAATACTATGAGTTGGAATTTAGGGTGGAAAGCCCCACATTTCAGAGGCATAACGTTGCTGTCTGTTGTGTTCGCAGTGGAAGGCTATTCACTCTAAATGCACAGTCACCAGAATCAGCGTGGCCAAAGGTGAAATCGGACTTCTACAAAATTGTTGATTCTTTTATTTTGGCTTGATGACAACAAAGAGAAATAGATGATTGCTTTTAAGACATGGTGCAAGATTTATAGAGAATTTTGTTATGGTTTAGCACAACACTTTAGCCTTGAATTTCATTTTCTGTGATCTACACTGATGAAGTGTGGCAACCTGAGATAGGATTGCTTTCAATTTGGAAATAACTTGCAAGAAGGTACTCTATGAACATGACAATCCCAAACTCCAGGAATGCTTAAAAACGGAATGTTTTGCATCCTAACACGACATCAATTTCATTGCCTTGGAGAAAGATCTAAACCTTATTGTATACTGAACTCCTTCTAGCCTATAGTCTCCTTTCTTGATCTCCATGTAAATGCATAGAGAACTTTGTAACCCACATTTGAAAGTCACCTTCTAATATTTGCCAAAGACATCCCATTGAGCTCTCAGATGAATCATTTCAAAAAATCTTTACTAGACCTGTTCAGTTCTTCTAATCTAGTTGTTTAATCTCGACAGTAGTGGTTTTTTCTGTAATGTCCCTAATCTTCTTTTTATAATAATCACTTTGTGCTAGGTCTGCATGGCTTAAAAACACATCAAAAGCACATTCACGAACCACTCAGCATAAACTGCAGCAAGCGAAGTGGGATTTGGGGCATTTGTTTGAATCCCTTGATCTTTCTTTTTGTTATCCTCATCTAAATAATTACCTTCATATTCATAAAGTCTGTCCCGTTTACCAAGTGATGTTGTAGGTTATTCTCCTCTCATCCAGACTAATTTCTGTATCTCTTGTCAATACTTTTGTATCAGATTCCTAGTAGGCCCTTTTGTGTTTTTTAAATGCTGTGCCAGCAATTTAGCTTCACTTACAGTGTATGTACCAACGGGTTAGACAGGGAATAGTCATCCAAAAGAGAAATATCAGTTTTCATATGGAAAAAAACAGTACTTAATACAATAATAAATAAAGGAAAAACAGTACTTAATACAATAATATATTCCCTCCGTTCTTAAATATTTGTCGTTTAAAGTTTTTGTCTAGGGATTAAGGAAGCTATTAAATAGCTCTAATATGAGTAAAAAATAATTGTACAAGACTAAAATACCCTTATTCAATACGTATTGAGAAGGAAAGGAATATGAAAGACATTTAGTTTACACTTAATCTATTAAGCACTTATTGAAAAATATAGATAAGAGTAAATTTGAAAGAAAAAATATTAATTATGCTTTGATTTCGTTAAACGACAAATATTGTGAAATAAAAAAAATTATATAAAATAACAAATATTTAAGAACAGAAAAAGTATAAAGAAAAAACAGTACATAATGTCACAGATGTTGAAATGGAGCCAGTTCGCTAAATCAAAGTAACTCAACAAATGCATATTACTAGGAGAGGGCTAATCTTTTTAGCAATACCATTTCTGGATTATCCAAATGCAAGCCTTTGATTAAGGAATTGCGCAACTTCAATGTCAACCACCTTCGTGTCGAGCCACAAGAGGCTGATATCAAGGCACTTTTAGAGATAACCATGAGTCATGGAGTTAATACAATGCGATAGGAATAATAAAATAAATGCTCTAGATATGACAGTAGTCCTATAAATATGAAATTATACATCTACAATGATTAGGAGATCAGCACACCTTGACAGTAACGTCTTGTACCATGTACTATGTGTATACCCACCAGTAGATGATGTGGACTCTAGACCTGCAAATTGATTAGATTCGCACCAGATATGGATCCATTCAAATTTAAATTTGAGTCTGATTAAAAAAATACGTTATCGAATTTGATTTATTTATTCGATGAATAAAAAAAATTAAGTTATATTTGAATCTGTTTAGTATCAGACAATTGTTCTGATTCATAATAGTACTAGGGCTAACCCGTACTTAAATGTATAGTGTAACGTAAGTGAGAAGTAATGAATTTGGAGAAAGAAAAAAATTCAATGTAAACGATTTTGAGAGGGACGTTGGTGGCTTTTGAATGAGTCTATTTGAGATCGTTGGATGAGTTTTTTGAAGTATGTCATATTTTATATTATAGATTCTATCAAAAATTCAACAAATAATCAATATACGAATCGAATTTGTATATATCTATATTCATATGTGATTTAAGATATCTAAATGGATTCAAATTAGATTCGATAAACAGATGAAAATATAGGTTCATATCTGCTTAAACGGATTCAAATTCAAACTAAAATCTGGTCTATTGACAAGCCTAGTGGACTCCTATTACCCCCTTAGCTCGTTAGCGGCATTGACATAGGGCAGCCTTGTCCAAAGGAGCTCATGCCTTAGCCAAATTGGCGGAAGTCCATGCATGGCTAAGGGAGGCAGTCTATGCACATGGGCATGTGGGCACAAGTTAACATGCAAGTAGGGAAGTCGGGTGACTAGAATTGTGGGGCAATGCTAGCTTGAAGGATGGAGCCATGGGCAGGGCCACAATTAGATGCTAAGTGCTCATGAGGAAGGCACATGCACAACATGTGAGAACGTTGGACATGTGCTCTGTAGATGGTGGTAGTTCTGTGCAGTTTCTAACAGGTGCATAACATGCGGGATCTCTATCAGATTTAAACAGCATGCAGGGAAGTTGAAGACAGTTCCTGGCTATGTCAGCCACCAGTTACAACTTGCTTTGCCATCTAATCACAGCAGACTTTTGAGAGGATTTGAATTGTATGCAGTTGCCTAAGCGATTGGACTTATAATCGCCACCCTGAACATTATAAATAGGGATGTCTGGGTCTACAGTGCAACCAATAGAGTTGGGCACATTTTCGTAAACAGACCCAAGGTTGAGTTTCCTTATATTTTATTGAGAAAGAAAGGTTTGACCTGTAATGCTTGTGTGCCTTGTGTGTGTGTTTGCTTATTGTCCATTCTCTGTTCTTGTGTGCATTATAAGTGTTTGGCTAAGATTGAGTATAGGATCTCAGTGCCATCATGAGGTAGAAATTTGGTGAGAAATTTAATCTCGTGACAATTGGTATCAGAGCTTCAGTTTGCGACCATGGTTGGTGGAAACGCTATTGAATTATGAGAACATGTGTCCCGTCTCGAAGATTTTCTAGGCGCCCCTGAAAGTGATGGTGCAGCTAGCATGACTGTGTTGATGGAGCAGCACACTATTCAAATTATGGGATTATAGATGACTTTTGATAGCTATGTGACCAACACCGATACAAAGATTACAACGATGATGGAGGACATCATGTCCTTCACAGATGCTGTCAAAACGAATCTGAAGGATCTTGAAAACCAAGTGTCCTTGGTGAAGAGGGCCATGAATTCTCGACCCATTGGGGGTGAGACGCCTTCAAAAATTATAGTCCTAGAACCAAAGGCCTTCGAAGACACTTGAAGTGCTAAGGATCTAGAAAATTTCTTGTGGGACATGGAGTAGTACTTTAAGGCAGCCCATGTGCCTGTTGGAGAGAAAGTGACAATCACCAGTATGTATTTCTCTGGTGATGCCAAATTGTGGTGGCGGGTCTGGAATGAGGACGATGCCTTGCTGGTCGTCCAAAGATCGAGACATGGGAGACCTTAAAAAAGGAATTGAAGAATCAATTCCTCCCTAGCTATACGACTTGGATTGCTAGGGATTCACTCAAAAAGTTAAAACACCGAAACGATTCGTGATTATGTGAAGGAGTTCAGTTCGTTAATGTTGGACATCAAGAACATGTCAGAGGACGACAAACTTTTTAATTTCATGTCCGTACTGCAAGGTTGGGCACAGGTTGAGTTGCAGAGGTAGGGGGTACGTGATCTGCCCATTGCCATTTGTACGGCGGATGAACTTGTTGACTTTAAAATGGGCGGTAGTCAAGGCCCTTCTGAGAAGAAAAAGAAGGATGGTGGCAGCAGGAAAGATAAGGCTGACACTTTCAAAGACGCAAAGAAGGTGGATTGGAAAAAAAAGAAGAAGAACGTTGTTGACTCTAACAAGCTAGACAACAACCAGAAGAAGAAAGCTTTTGATTCTAGCTATTTTCTTTGCGGTGGCCCCCATCGTGTCAAAGACTACCCCAAGTGGGAAAAGTTAAGTGCCCTTGTTGCTGCGATTGGGAATGATAGTGATGATGATTGCCCCACCCAAGTTAACCCTCTCCAACTGCTAAATGTAATTACTGTGGGCAAAGTTCAGAAACCTCACAAAGGCCTTATGTTTGTATAGGCTTGAGTGAATGGCAAGGAAGGTTAGGCCATAATGGATACTGGAGCCACCTATAACTTTGTTGCCCAGAGAGAAGTGGGAAAATTTGGCCTGTAATTGTTAGAGAATTCTAGCAAGCTCAAGGCGGTAAATTCTAAAGCAATACTGGTGCGTGGCATGACAGAAATACGACTGAAGGTGGGTCTGTGGGAAGGCCAGGTGAGCTTGAGGCTGTGCCCTTGGATGACTTTGATGTTATCCTAAGGAATGAATTCTTTATTATGGCAAAGGTTGCATTGATGCCACACCTGAACGGAGTGTTGATCACAGATGAGAAAACACCTTGCTTTGTGCCTGCAGCCATAGCAAACCAAAGCAAGAAAGATGGAAAGCGAAAGATGGGAATGTTGTTCGTTATGCAAGTGAAAGCTGGGTTGAAGAAGGACAAGATGACATACCTCGCAGCTTTGGTGGAGATCAAACTAGATGTGCTGGTTTAAGTACTACTTGACAAAATTCCTTGCTGGTCTTTAATCCCTAAATACTACCCCCTAAAATGTGTATGACTTATAGGAATAGGGGAAATATCACTCTCCCTTGGGATAGTGTCAAAAGAAAGGGCAAGGAACAAGGAAAATGAGATGGTGGAAATATGAGATGCATATACACAAAAATGTGTGTGTGTGTACAAAAGTGCTCCCCAAGCGCAAGGAGACTTTCGCAGGTTGTGTTTTACTTGGTGGTATTCCAAGGTTGTTTCCATAGGGAAGGAAGTAAATCGAGGGGAAGGTGAATTTGGGAAAAAGAAAGTGTAAAAATCTTTGGTTGTTGAAAGTTGTTTGATGAAGTTTGTTTTGATGCTAATAAACTGAGAAACAAATGTTGGCAAATCCAAGAGGTCACTTCAATAGGAATACCATCTCAACTCGAAACCCTCATCCGGATTAAAAAGCATGAATGAATGATTGATTCGTGGGAAGTTAGGGATAAATTTGGTGAGTATCCAAGCATAAACCGTGATTAGGCCTACAAAATATCAAAGACTCACCAAGTTATCCACCCTTAACTCAGTCAAACCGAACCATTGGACTCTGA